TATATATATATAAAACCTACTGATAAAACAAGAATACAGGCGTTTAGGTATCTGTATTGTACATAGTTATTGTATGAGACTGTCTATATGGGGTTACTATTCTTCTCTTATTAACAAACAAATGACTGCTGAGCTAGTTAAATGAATGCAGTTTAATTTAGCCATGAGCCAAAATGTGGTGGGGGGGAAGAAAGACAAAAAAAATAAAAATAAAAATAACAAGTGTACGATTACTGCAAGAAACATGCTGACAACCTATGCACTTGAGGATTTCTGCCTCCCTCCAGGAGCGTCTGTGGGGTCAATTCTCGACACTTTATCCCACAAAACGTCCAGCCGACGACATTTTGGACAAATCAGTCAATAAAGAAACGACAGCTGAGAGAAACACTGTGAGCTAGCTTGTTGTGGCTGAAGCTTCCTGAGCTCCAACCTTCAGGAGAAGTTCGAAAACAAACTCACGTCCAAGTCTAACAAAACAAATATAATATTTAGGCTAACTTAACTGCACCTGTGAATCATACGTGAGAGGAGTGACGGTGAACTTCCATCTTCCGGTTTCCAGTTGTTGTCTGCTGCTAGGTTACGGTTTACAACAGCTGCAAAAAAACCAACAAAGGCAAGCTAGAACCGTAAACTGTCGCAAAAAAAAGCTAACGAAACTGTGACGATATATCCAGTATAGCATTATAAAACAACACTTTCGCGATTTAACAACTTGAAGTTAGCTGTAAGTGCGCAGACAAAAGCGTTTTAAAAAAACACCAATACTCCCGCTTTAGCTGCAGTTTAACTCGCGCGGTCAACTCTGCACCGGAAGTAATACTGGACAGCGACGCTTTTCAGCTAAAAGTTAGCTAGCTGTTGTAAATGGAATACCGTGTGTTCAAAGTATGTACTCCCAGTGTGTGAGACCGTCGCAAGATTCTGAAATAAGCTTCGGTATCTCCGTTGTCTGTCCTGTTATATACTCGGTAAGACAGAACTAAATACTTATATTCTCATTTTAATCCGCCCTCAAGACAGGTAACAAGCTAGTTAGCTTTAGCTTTTTAGTTGAGGGGACGGTAAGCAACCAAAACTTAAGTTTTTTTTTTTTTTCATTCTTAGTGGTGTTAAGGCAAATACACAATAACAGTCTCAGGTTTATTTATTTTATCAGCGACTGCTGTGCCTGGGTTGTAACGCTAGCTAACATGCTATCACTGTTTTTGATGCCAGGTGCTAACAGTGCAGGTGGCTGTAAGTGAGCACAAGCCTGTTTCCTGACACATGATGGCTGAGGCACGTTTTCAGTTGCTGAAAAGTCGTGCTCTCATTTTTTTTAGTCTAAAACAAATCTCCGAATTAGTCAGGGACATGCACTTTGTGCAGGTGCGGCTTGGTCAAGGATTTAAGGAGTGCCACAAGAGAAAGTTATTAATACAATTATGTTGATTTGTAGTTTTGATTGCCTTGAAGATCTGTGTCCTATTAGAGTATTTCTCTAAAAGAATTTCCTCTCGTGCAGAATTTAAATGCATGTCAAACCTTGTTTTTGTTTTCTTGCACAGTGATCAATGAGGGCTTTGGCCAGCAATGGCTGTCGTGTCGTGGAAGGAGATTTTACTTCTAACTGGACTGGTGGTGGGATGTTACTGGAACTGTCTTTCATGTGGATTTGTATTTGACGATGTCTCAGCTATTCTGGACAACAAGGACCTCCGGCCCTCGACCCCCATACGCAACATGTTCCTCAATGATTTTTGGGGAACACCCATGGCTGAGGCAAGTCGTGATCTTCACTTCTGTGTTTACAGGCAGAACATGTAGGGGTAAGGGTCATGGTAAGGTATCCTGTGTTTTCCAGACACAGTTCAATTTTTGTACCACAATCAAGTGACTGTTACCGTCACTTGTTATGAAGATGCTGTATATATTAAAAATAAATTAGAATTTGCATCATAGCCTTTTTTTTCTCAAAGAATTTGGATTGGATTACAGGAATAAAACAGATGCAGTCGATTCCTGTTCCTGCTTATATAATATTATATATAATATTATATAAGTGGCACTTGTCAACATTAAATTTGAATTTGGCACTAATGAATTGGTAGGAGGGATAAGTATCACTTATTGTTAAATGAATTTCTTTATATTTAGGGGAAATAGAAAATTTGAGGTATTTAGTTCTTAGAAAACAAATCTCACTTTTAGTGTAATTTTAAAAGGAAGGATCCTTTGATAGGATTAGAATATTTGTTAACTTCTTTCTCAAACTATAATTACATTCATCATCTAGTACAGTGTTTCCCAAAGTTGGGGTCGGGACCCAAAGTGGGGTCCTGAAACATCAAGGTGGGGTCCTGAAAAGATTTTCTGAATTAATTACATTTTTGCCTTAGTTGTTACAAATGAGTGAGGTTAGTATATTTTAAATGGATAAATGTAATATAAAAATGTTACTTTGTCCATGTTTTGTTGACCTGATACAAATGTTTATCATACAAAAATAGTTGGGGTCACAGGTCTCTGCTACTGTTATTTTGTGGGTCAAAAGCTGAAAAGTTTGGGAACCACTGCACTTTGGTTCCCAAAGTTGGGCTTGGGACCCAATTATGGGTCATGAAGCACCTTGCCTACTGATGGTGGTCAGAGGGTCCGGTGGCGCCGATGCATGGCAGCCCCACCTCTGTCAGTGTGCCC